TCTGAACAAGGACCTAGACATGAATTGTTATATCCATATATTAGGGCCAGGGACAGAGAAGGAAAATCTTTCTACAAACTTGGAGAGCACCCAAGTTTGCAGAAAAATCTCAAGCCTCAAATGGTGAAAGAGGGTTCCAAAAACCAAAATGTAGTGTTCTGTGCATGCACAGACAATGTGGCTTTACTGTTGTTGAGTTGGCTGCTGACAAGCAGGTGATCTGAGGCAATCCCCAACAGAGGATGCAAGCCTCCAGATGTTGACTGATTTATTGCCTGTGATTATCCTGATGTGATCAACTAATATTCCATCTGTATTCTGCAATGGTTTTCATATCCAATTTTGGTGCCACCTTGCTGGATATCATGAATTCTTGCATTTTAACAAACCTTTTCAACTCCATGCTATTGCAGAGCCACACGTGGCACTTATAGGTGACCAGTGTTCAATATTTAAATCAGAGCAACACCACCTGTGAGATCTAAGAAAAACAAAGTTCATGTAAATTATGCAAATGTAAATTGTACCTACTGAATAAGATGCAAAACAAATGCATTGTACTGGTAGGCTCTTTATATTTACAAGGTTCTAGCAGTATGTGCATGCATTTTATTTGCTTTCGTTTCTCTATTTACCCCTGTTGGGATTATTTATTTTAATGGTCATGCAGTCAACTAGTTTCAACAGGAAACATGCTTCTACCTATAATTTTGTTTTCTACCCAACCTGAATAAAATTCCCAGGAATTGTACCCTGCTACATTTCACATTGCTTATAAAATGGGGCACTACGCACCAAGCAGGCACAGGAAAGCATTTGGCACCCAAGATCAGCAGTCCATGCTGTGCAATGCTATGCAGGGTTACTCCAGGTGAGCCCTCTCTCACAAAACTTTAGCAATTGCAAAACAACAATAATGCAGGCAGTGCAAAAGAGAATCCGTTACAGTTGTCTTTCAAGTGAAAAGATCATTGTCAAGGGCAGAGAAACACTGGCCCTAATGCTTGTATGGGATCCAGAGGGTGCTCCCTGACAGAGTGATGACCGGCAGAAACACTCTGAGCAAAAAAAGAAATATATCAGCACAACCCTCTTTGGTGGCAAGATTGATGTGTGCCTCTCTGTTACTTCAATGTTTTGCCCACTCTCCCTCTACCCTGCCATGTACAACTAAAATGTTGTCAGCAATGGTACAAAGATGTCTGGCTACTGACATGATATTTCCCTCAGGATATTGAAACATAATTGATTTCCAATTGATGAAAGTTGCAATAATGTTAATGAAGTGGGTGTTCTTTAGGTTTATTTCCATCACAGTGTCCATGAGGGGGTATCTTGGGTTTTTTTGTTTTTTATATCTGCATGTATGTATGTGTGTGCGTTCACGTGTAAGTGTGTGTGCACCTGGCAGTCATGACAACCTCTGGTGAGTGACCCCTACTGGGGGCCTGGAGGATATTCAGAGAGGTGGCTGAATGAAGCCTCTGGTATTTCGAGGAGGTCTCCCATCCAAGTACTTGCCAGAGTCAACTTTGCTAAGCTTCCAAGATCTGACGAGATTGGGCTTGCCTGGGCTATCCAGGTCAGGGTTATGAGAACTCAAAGAGAAATAGATGGATAAGGAAAGAGGATAAGTAAAAGAAAGAGGGAAAGATGTTGCTGGGAAATGGGAATGTAGCACATGACCTGCTCTTGGATTTACTTGTGCATTTTCTTCCATGTCAGGAGTCTGCCTTCCCTCATTCCATTCCATGCAAAACAACCACAGCATTCAACCCAGCCCAGCCATGATATCTTCCTTTAAAAACAAAAAAACAAAACAAAATTAAAAAACAATCCTCTTCCCGAACGTTGATGTATGGGGAATGGCTGAAATTATTCAATGGTAAGGTTTCCCCCCCCACACATCTGACGAATTCTGCACAGGTGTTCAGCCTCACAGGGGCCAGGACACTGCACTAACAACAGGTGGGTAGAATAAAAGGGCAAACTTCATGTAAAACTTCAGTTTCATGATTTTAAAAAACAATTGTAGAAGCAGGGAGTCTCTCCCCCCCCCCAAAAAAATGCTCCAATCAAAAAATGGAAGGTACCCATCAAATAAATATACAGGTACCAATATAATTTAAATGGGGTACGGAGTCTCAACAGTCAGTCGATAAAAATGCCTCATAAATATCGGGCCATGGGATCTAAACTGAAAGGTCAAAAATTATATCATTGTTACCATTTGACAGTCAAAAGGAGTCCCTCTGACCCATAAACCAACATGTGTGAACTTCTATTCACATTTTTCTGGGCATCAGAACAGTCTCGTTCCAATCCAGGAGCCCTTCAGGGTATATGAGAAGAAATGAGATAGGAATACTCACATACTGCAGATTTTGACCTCTAATTGGGAGGGGCTCAGGTGCAATGACATCTGAAAAGTGACAGTCAGGGAATAGATTTCTTTTTTCTTAGAGTGAGAAAGATGGTCAAGGAGAGAAGAGCAGAAGTAGTAATGTTTTATCTGGGGGGGGAACACAAAAAAAATCACAACTAAAACAAAAGGCAAAACCTAAGATAAAGGTTCCTTAAACAATATTGGCATTGTGACCCTTGTGGGTGGGAGCTGAGAGCTGACTGGGCTAAATGCAGCAAGGGTATTAAAAAAGGCAGGTACTGAAAACATCTTTCTGCTTCAGGACAGAGTTCTGAAAAAGTTCTAAAGCTGTTTATGGCACTGCACTCCCTTAATATGACTCTTCCAGTTCTCCCACTATCAAACTTAGCTTTGCACTTCATAAAAGATACAGGGGAGTGTAAGCTTCCACTTTGGTGTAGAGTCAATTTGGTGTAGTGGTTAAGAGCTAATTTGGTGTAGTGGTTAAGTGCGTGGACTCTAATCTGGGAGAAGTGGGTTTGATTCCCCACTCTTCCACTTGCAGCTGTTGGGCAAGCCATAGTTCTGTCAGAGCTGTTCTTGAAAGAGCAGCTCTCGAAAGAGCTCTCTCAGGAACACCTACCTCGCAGGGTGTCTGCTGTGGGGAGGGGAAGGGAAAGGAGATTGTAAGCCACTCTGAGTCTCTGGGTGAAGGGCGGAGTATAAATCCAATCTTTTCTCTTCTTCTTCTTCAGTGTAAGATTTGCAAGCACTCTACCAGAAACCAGTCCCTTGGCCATGCAGGTATAATTGGAGAAGATGGCTTCCTTTGATGTGGTGAATCTGCAAATCCATCCTGACTTCTTCATAGATCCCACAATCCTCTTTCATATGCAACAAGTAACTTAGAAGGAACCAAAGACAACCAAAGAACCACAGACCAAAAAGTAACTCCTTGATTCTTGCACTATGAAAATTCCCTATTTTATTGAAAACGCAATTTTTAAAAATTAACAGCTAACATGAATAATTACTCCAGGTAAACCATGTTATTTAAGAGTGAAAATAGCATCACTGTACTATCTCCCTGGAGCTGCGATGGCTCAAGTGGTTAAGACGCTGAACTGCAGGCTGTGGAAGATCAGTAGTACAGCAGTTCAAGACCCGGGTGCCGCATGATGGAGTGAGCTCCCATCTCTAGTTCCAGTTCCTGCCAACCTAGCAGTTCGAAAGCAAGAAATTGCAAGTAGATAAATAGGTACCACTTTGGTGGGAAGGTAACAGGGTTCTGTGCGCCTTGGTGTTTAGTCATGCCGGCCACATGACCACGGAAACGACTTCGGACAGCACTGGCTCTTCGGCTTTGAAACGGAGATGAGCACCGCAACCCTAGAGTCGGATTCGACTGGCTTTCGAGCAAGGGAACCTTTACCTTTTACTATCTCCCTCCCTCTGTTTTTAAGTGCTTCAAACCTCTTAAATTATTCAGTTGCAGACTTCCTAGACTATTCAACTTCGCCTTATTTTCTCAGTCTCTAAGAGTCATTAACCAATTAAAGCTGGGCTCAGGTCCAGAAAACTGCAGAGGCCCCCGTACAAGCTTATCACACTGAAGAGAAATCCCTAAACAACCTTCTCTCCAGCTAGAATTGTAAGCATGAGCCCAATTTTTCATCGTCTTAAAAGGAAAAACTACATGTGCCAATGTCTGTGACAGATCTATAAAGTTCAGTGCATACTCCTTTGATTTTTTTTAGCTCTGTTACTTAACATACTAGGAACAACTTCTGAACTTGTTGTATTAGCTTTCTTCTTGCAGAAAAACAGTGGTGTTTTTTTTCCAAAGAAAAACATGTAAGGGTTATATCCAGTGCACCCACATGAAGCACTTCCATGTGAGCAATTGGATGCACACTGTACTTCAAGCGGTGGCAACCTCTCTTGCCACATGAGGTGATTTTTTTTTCAGCCTTAAAGCAGGGTTTTGCTACTGAAAGGGAGAAGATGAAAAAAATCCCCATGCATGAACAGAAAGATCTGTAGATCCCAGTCCAAGATTTATTACCTTTAAATATGGGGAAGAGGTATGGCTTAGTGGTAGAGTATCTACTAGGCATGCAAAAGGTCCCATGTTCAATCTCTGGCATGCCCAGTTTACAGGATCAGGCAGTAAGTGATGTGAAAGTCCTTAGGAAAGAGACCCCAGAGAGCCCCTGCCAGTCAGAGTAGACAGCACAGACTTTGACAGACCAAGGGTCTAATTCAGTATAAAGCAGAGCCATGTATTCAGGCCAATAACTTGTGCTTATATAAGACAAAGCATTCTGTATGCACAACCTGCTAAGACATTTGTTGCGTTAGCGTAAGGAAGATTTGGTCTACTGAAGAACTGTTCTAGGAACAGTTCTCAGTTTCAATCACACCACCACACACTAAGATTCTTGCAACAAAGCTTTTAATATTGTGTATAAAAATAAAATTACTCACATTTGAAATACTGATTATACCATTTGCAAAAAAAGAAATCTATAAAAGATAATGTTTCATAGGAACAGTAAGTCTGAATATTTTTAACTTCCTGTTCTTCCAAGGCACTACGTTAAAAAAATTCTCACCTTTTATGGAACACCTCCTTCATTTGAACTATACAGACTTCCAACAATTTTGGCAATTCTTTAAATTTTCCTGAATACACCCTATGAATATAATTAAGAACCTATTTCCAACAAGAACTTTTCTATGATTGTGATCCATGATCATTTAGGTCACAGTAATCATCTAAACAAATGTGGTTCCACCTGCATCAATGGGAATGCATGTGTTTGGCTTGCATTCAAGTAATTTGATTTAATACATTTACGGAGCAGGCCGCAAAGGAACAAGTAGAAACTACTTTTTTTGTCTTCATCTTTAAGAAAATGTGGCTAAGACTACAGAAGTAGCCTTACTATTGCATAGCTGCCAATAACACAAAATCAAATATATTATAAATTTTAGTTTAAATGCTATTCTAGAATACCACTTTCCTTTGGCATACAAATAACACTGTTTGGGAGTAGCTTGAATAATCTATACTTTTGGTCCATGCTGTTAATTCTATCATTATCATTCTTTTGTATATCCTCTTTGGTTAGTCAGAAATGCTTCAGAGCATGTTCTTCAGGCACCGTTGTTAGCTACACAAATGAAGGCCTTCCAAACCCACCACTTCTGCTACAGCAACAAGTTCAGTAAACTGTTTTCTTTTCTTACAGTTAAGTGCAACTTTCCTTCCATCTGAACAAAAGCAGTGGGTTAAACATTTAGTAGACGGTCTGCAGCACTTTGATTTGGTCCATTAAAAAACCAAGGTTGTTTGTAGGCACATCCAGCAACAGTATTGCTTTCTCTTTAACTAAGCCGTAGTTCCACATAGTCTGTTGGTTGTAGAAACCTCTTTGGTGTCAGATTCTGGTCTTCCTGAAACCACAAATGGCCAGGTCTGCAAATTAAAACAGCACTCCACATTAGCAAGAGGGAGGACAATATGCGGATATCAATACTTCTACCGTTATTTGCTATTGGTTTGGCAGCAATATTTTTCAATACAACATAATGGGTCACCAATAGTCACACTGAGGAGCACTACAAAAATAGTTTGTTCAAAAAGTATAATAAAATAGGAGTCTAGTATCACCTTAGGGACTAACAGAATTTATCACAGCTTAGCTTCTATGTGTCAAAGTTAACTTCATCAGATGCAAGGAGCCTATGTACACTTAAGTCAATGTGTTTATATTCACAGAAGCGGAAGAGAGGCACTGCAAAAAGGCTGGTTTAAAACAAGATAAACTGAACTGTAATAATTTTCTCAACACATTTAAGCCAATCACCACTTTTTAATCCCTTGAGAATACATATTAAAGCACACTCTCACCAGCGTACACTATTAGAGATAGCAGCCATTCCTTAAATACTGATAAACCACAACAAATTAGTTAAATGCTAAGATTTTACTAATAGTATTAGCGTTTGGGGGTGGGGGGCATTGTAAAGATTCTTTACATTCAGAAACAACTGAGAAACACTCCAGAAGAGTACTTTAGGCTGTGTGCTCTAGTCATGTCTTTCACTATCCTCGGCATCTGCTTTTTGAATTCCCATATCACCACCTGTTGGCCTGGTTTATTCCTCAATAAGATGTTAGATATCTTTGCCATATGAAACCAGTCCATCTCCAAGGGGTTTAGTATTTTGTTCAACTGTGAACCACATGGAAACGTGAATACATTCTTCAGTTTTTACCTATACTGCTAACATTATTCTGAGTTACTGGTATTTTGCCTTATGATTTCTCTTTTCATGAATAAAAATCATGATCTATTACACTTTTCTCAGAAACAAGAGTTTGACAGCAGGGTTTGGGGGCCAAAGGCACTGCTGTCAATTCCCAGTTTTACTAGGTTCACACAACAGTAAGAGAAAACACAAGTGTGTTCTGGTTTTTTTAAAGGCAGTAGTACATTTGATGGAGACGGGCAAAGTCTAACTGCATCTTCAATATAATTCTCTCTCTGCAAAAACCAGCAGAAATGCTATCAAGGATTTCAGAGATTTGGCAGAATTGTATTTAGGTATAGAACACATAACCTATAAGGGTTTTAAACTATAAAAATAGTAAGATTCGGTACTGATATATGAACTATATTCCTTCATTTTCGGCTGCCTAAGCTTCTTCATAAATTTAGTAGAGGCAGGGACAAGCACTTTTCACATGTGAAAAAGCCCTTTACACATGTGAATGCATGTACCTCCTACAAGTCTATGCAATGTATCTTTCCGTAAGAAAAAGCCAATGCATGTTTGCTTTACAAATAAAACCATGTACCAGTTCCTTGGTAAATAAACCATTTTGATCATATAGTCAGCTGCACATGTGTTGAGAGTAATATGAAAATTACTCGATGTGTGTACAACGAAAAAAACAAATGTACCCTGTACAAGGATTATACAAACATCACTATAACTTGTAACATTGTGTTTACAACAGAGCACCAGTGTGGTGAAGGTGGGGGGAGCCAGTTCAAATCCCAGCTCAGCTATGTCATTCACTGAATGGCCTTGAACAAGTCATCCTAGCTCAAAGCAGTTTACATAAATCTCTTCTCCTGCAATTTATCCCCGCAATAACCCTGTGAGGTAGACTGGGCTGAAAGTGCATGACTGGCCCAGGATCACCCAGCAAGTTTCCATGGCAGAGTGTGGATTTGAACTCGGGTCTCATAGAACCTAGCAAAAAAACCCTCATATCACATTGCCTTTCAAGAGACAGTAAGAGAGATCTAACAAATCTCCAGCATGCAAGCATCCTTCTACTTACATTGATGTTGCATACAATAAAAAAGGGAAATGCAATCCAACCCACTGCGACATTCATCTTAGGCCCGCTGAACTTGGCAGGTGCCTCTATTGATGCAAATGTAGATACACCTGCTATGTGCAACTAGTAGTTCATGACTACAGCTAAGGATCAAATGTAAAGCTCAACAGAACACAGCGATTTACAGCGCCAGTCACACCTTTCTACAACCATTGAAGTCAATGGGCTTAGCATAACTGTTTAGGATTGCGCTATCAGTGTGCTGCAACAGTGAAAAGGGCAAACAGAGAGATAAAAGAGACTTAACTATTCTCTCTCACTTCTGAATCTACCTTATATCGAATCAGAACATTGGTCTATCATGGTTAATATTGTCTATTTAGACTGGCAGTGGCTCTCTCCAGGGTCTCAGGCTAAGGACTTTCACATCACCTACTGCCTAGTAGTCCTTTGAACTGGAGATGCCAGGGATTGAACCTGCCACCTTCTGCATGTGAAGCAGAGGATCTTCCACTGAGCCACAGGCCTCCTTGCAACCACAATTTAAGTTCTTGTGAACCCAAAGTAAGCTCCCTTTTCAAACTTATTAGAGAATTCAACAAAAAAGCAACAAACAACCAAAAGGCTATAGCATTTTCTTCCCTATGAAGAACTGAAAAACCTGAGGCATTTTACTTGAGAAAGAATAGACATCTTGAGGGGACAGGGCTAAGATGTTTTATCAATTATGAATGGTGTGAGTAAAAGTGAACAGTAAGAAAGTTTCTTTAGAGTACAAAAAGTCATAACCATCCAATGAATGCAAAAGGAAGCATTTCATCTCATGCACAACTAAGTTACAGAACTACCACAGGATTTGTTTATTTAAAACCCAGCTTTCATCTAAGGAGCCTGCAGGTGGTGGATATGATTCTCTTCTCCATTTCCTCCATGCAACATTTCTGTTATGCTATTCTGTTATGCTATGCATAGGTTATACTATGGCAGAGAGAGAATATTACTTGTGTGAGTTCACCAGCAAGTTTCATAGCAAGTGGTGATCTGATCCCGGATCTTCCCATGTGTAGCCCAATGCTAGCATGTATCTGCTGCAAAAGGTACCTCCAATTACTTACCCTCAATAATGAAAACAAAAAATAGTCTAGATAAGGTTAACTACACAGAGAGGACAAATTAATTTCTAAAATGAGAGGCACCCAGAGGATATCTGCTTGCAAGATGCTGTCTGCAATGGCTCTTCTCCTAAATTCCACGAGTGTTTTAAGATGACAATAACTTACAGTCAGAAAAAAAATCCCTCTTTCCTTTTCAAGCATCTGACAAAGTGCATTTGGACTCATCGAAGCTTCTGCTCCAATAAATTTGTGATACATTAAAGACTAACAATACTCTCTGTTATTTCATGCATTCACTTTTATTTCTTGACAGAGTTCTTTTCTTTCACTCTTAAGAAGACACCTGCTTCAGAGAAATGCATCCAGAAGATAAAGCTGGTACAATTTCCAAGAAGACACTTGTAAGAGAAAACCCTTACACCACATCTAAACCTTAAGTGTGATTTAAACATGATACTGGCAGGATAGAAGAACTTACCTGTGGCCAGCATCTCCTGAACTGGACCCTGAACCATGAAGCATTTAACACTCTCGCATTCCAGTCCACCATTGCACTGGCATACTAACACTGTGCACATGGCCAGATTGTGGGACAATGGCCCAGTTTAGATCTTATTTAAAAGCCACAGTCATAGGCGGCAGGAATTAAGCAGTGCCATCTTGCATACACACAACACAACACAACAGGTTCTCAACTAGCAACTGGTGCTTCCCAAACTGTTTGTGGCTTTTATTATCCCTTTCATGCGCTGCCTCAGGGTGCCCTGTTTACAGAAAGGAGAAAGGCGCAGTGTATCTTTTAAAACACAGAACTTTTACCCTGCCAAAGCGTCGTCGCCTGGCAGGTGCTGGCTCCCGCCTGCGACCGCTGCACGAGGCGATTCCCCCCTCTGGCCCCGGCCCCGCCCCCCGCCGCGCTCACCAGGTTGAGGGGGTGCACGTAGCCCTTCTCGTAGCGGTCTTCCTGCAGCAGCTGCCGGAGGTGGGCGATGTAGCTGGAGGCCAGGCGCAGCGTGTCCAGCTTGGAGAGCTTGGTGTCGGGCGGCACCCAGGGCAGGCTGGTCTTGAGGCGCGAGAACGCCTTGCTCAGCACGCGCATGCGGGCTCGCTCGCGCGCGTTGGCCGCGTTTCGCTGGGTCTGCTTGCACTCTGCCGCGGCGCCGCGGCCGCCCGGTGCCTGCCTTTTCCCGCCCCCTCCCCGGTCCTCGCCCGGCGCTCCCGGAGCCCCCCGCCTCTTCTTCCTGGCGCCGCAGGCTTCCTCCTCTTCTTCCTCCTCTTCGTCGTCGTCTTCCGCAGCGGAGGAATTGCCCACGGAGGGGCAGCAGGGCTCTCCCCGGGGGCGCCGCTTGGAGCCCGGCGGCACTACGTAGTCCAGCTGCAGCCCTCTCAGGTCCATCTCCGCAGCTTGGCAAGCCCCGGCTCCCTCCCTCCCTCCGCCTCCCTTCTTTCCCAAGCTGGCTGGTGGGAGGGGAGGGGAGGGGTGGCTGAATGGCTCCGGGCTGGGGAGGGGAGGGCGGCGGCAGCGGGAGAGACACAAGAGGGTCGCGCAGGTCCAAGCCCCTCCCCACTTGCGCTCACCCACCTCCCCGACGCCCCTCGCAACCTGCAGCCCTTGCAGGTGCGCCCACCAGCCTGCCCTGCCTGAGCTCTTTGGCCCCGCCCCAGCAGAGCCGGTCGTCGCTGCTCTCTCCCCTCAAGGTGACTCCACTGCCGTCCAGGCTGGGCGGGTTGGCACCCGAGGCGCGCCGGCGCGCAGAGGGTCAGACGGGGAGGAGGAGAGAGAGGCGCAATTTAAGCAGCGCAGCCGAGGCCACCAAGCGCTCCGGCCGCGCCTTTGCTCCTCCTCCCCTTGCGGGTGGGGGTGGAAGAGGGGGTCACTGGCCGGCTGGAGGGACAGAACGGGAGGCTGCGCGACCTCCCGCAAGGACAGCGCTGCGTGGCGGCAGAGACTAAAAGGTTGCCTGGTCCCGGGTTCCGTGCGTAGGCGCGAAAGGAAGGGCAGCCTTGAGAGTCTTAAGGGCGATCGTGAAACTGCATCCCGTGAGCGACACGAACGGAAACGGTGTCATTGACATCCAATCAATCTTGGATCTCTATCCTAACCCACTCGCTTGGAACCCTGTTCCAGTTGGAATCAAAGGTAATCTGAAGCAATAGCTTCGGTAAACCCTCCTGATCTCTTTTTTAATCAAATGGAAGAGCCGGGCGCTCAGGAGTGAGAAAGAAAGGCGGGGCAAGATCAGTCCATCGCCATGGTGCAGAACCGCTGTTGCGCAAGCACAGACCCCGGATTCCTGACTCGTTATTAAACGGATCTGCACCTGCTGTGGGTTTTTATTACTTGGATGTAGGTAGCGCTCTTTCCTTATAAGGAAGGCAGGGGTTTCACAAGGCAGAAACTCCCCCTATTTTAGCCCAGAGGCAAGTTGCCAATGATAACCATTGATAGGAATTAGTCTTATTAAAATAAATAGGGCTTTATTGGGAAGAGGTGAACAAAAGAAAACGCATGAAATCGTCTGGAAGGGCATTTCTCTGAAATCGATGGAATGACGTCCCAATGGCAGATGGGGGGCTAGCGTCATTCATTTCAAAGATGCTTTGGCAGAGTTAATTTGAGTCATCGGAGCTCATCTCTTGGAGCAATTCTAACCAGGTCTACTCATAAGTAAGTCTCGTGTTAGTCAGTGGGGCTCACTCCCAGGATTTTTGCCGCCATTGCCTTGAGGATTGTCTTCTCTGTCACCCATTGTTAGTTCCAAAACTGAGTTCAGGAACATATGAATCGGCTGCTGAGCATGTGCAGAGTGTTCCCTTTATTACAAGCGTCCTATGCCTACATATTTTGGAAAGGTTTCGGGACATGCTGAAGTCTCCCCCGGAATCCATCCTTTCTTAACATGAACCGCCTTAACTGTTTGGCTTCGATTTCAAAAATTCCAGAAAAGGACTGGCTGCAGCATTTTCAGTGCGAAACTCCTGCCGATGCCTCCCTTCCGTGTCTGAGGAACCCTTTCGACGAGGCAGGCAGGCAGGCTCCTTCGGGATCATCATGACGGGGCGGTGGGCGGGGGCTGAACGGTTTTTTCGCCAGACGCTGACGGCTGCAGCAGGTGGAAATCTCTGTCCTTCATTCCTGCATCTGCAATCTTTTCGTTCCGTTCATCTTCCCACCAGACTGACGTTGGCACCTTGAGTCTCTGGGCACAATTTCCCACGAGCTGATAATCCCCCCCCCCCCCAGCTTTTTATTTAAATGGAAGAATCTCTTGCCGCCGCCGCCCCATCACGGGCAGCTTTTCCCAAGCTGAGACGATTGGTGGGAGCTCTGAAATGCATCCTGTGTCGGACTTGGCACTCGGAGGCCCTGAACTTGGGCTGACACCGGGCCGCAGTCTTTGGCTCTGCTTCCCCCAAGCAGGTGGCTGGCTGGCCCCGCTCTACGCCGGTTACTTAGCCGTACTCCTGGATTATCCGTATCAATACATATATATATATATACACACATACACATGTGTAAGTCCTGCCCACCCCCACCCCCCCCGCCGCCGCTCCTTCTCTCTCCGGGTTGTTTATACAGGTGCAGTCTGAACTCCTTCCTTGCTAAAGATTAATGGGGAGGGAAGTGCTGAATTTCTCTAAACAGTGGTGCAAATCTTGGTGCCCAGTCTTAAAAGCGCTGATGGCAAACATTGCCTTTCATGCTTAGCGAACCGCTCCTCCGTAGGCTGCACTTCCTGAGATGAGGGCTTTGGGGGCTTCATGACTCAAAGAGAGAGAGACCCCCCCCCTTAGGGTGTCCCAGCCGCCTTAAGAAGAGGGGGCGCTTTCAGAGTTCCTTCCTGCCTTCCCTCTGCGTTTCAGAGGTGTGTAGAGTCCGCTTGTGGTGTATGACTGATGAAGAGAAAGCACTCTGCGTGTGCTCCAAGGCACACACTCTAATTTCACAATTTTCTGCCATTAAACTCTAGCTTTGTAATAAATCCCTTGGAGGCTGGACCCCCCCCCCTTTTAAATTAAGGCCACTGGGAATTGTAGCTTTCCATTTAACACTGGAGAAAAGCGAGGAAAAGACAGGCCTTGTTTTCTCTTTACCCTAGCTGACACTAGTAGGATGGTTGCAGTGAATTGTCTGGGAGGACGCCTCCCCCCCCCCAATGTAGCAGTTCCACTGAAGAAAAAGGGGGGCGGGAAGGGGCTTGTGTGCGCCACATTTGTTCTGCGCCTGGGCAGCCTATCCTCTTCCCAAATAAATTATTCGCTGGAGGTGGAGGGGATTACCTAATGCTTCGGCTGGGTCCATAAGAAAACTTCGGGAAACTCCTGTAGTGGATGAGAATGCTCCCTTCTTGGACCCATGCCATCTGGTTTCAAAGTGTTGGGTGATAGTGAGATATTGAAAAAATGGTATTTAGCAGAGATAAAATAGTCCAGCAGAGCCAGAGTAAAATAATTCAGACTGAGAGTCCATATGTGATTAAAATATAAAATTTTTACTAAATTCTAGCATAGGAAGGGTAACTGGGATGAAAATAACAACAGAGCATAATCGGCTACATCCTTACTTTACAAAGACAAAACTAGAAGAGAGACATTATGGCTACTCTTCTTCTTCTTCAGAACACCAAACAAAGACAGGAAGAGAAACCATAAAATGGTAATACACCTTGACACTTTAGTCCTGTAATGTATCTAGTCCAGACAAGTCCAGAGACAAACGTCGAGCTTTGCTCCAAGAGACAATGGACTATGCGGATCCTAGCCCACTCCAATCAGGGGGCTAGGTTCCTGGCCGAGAGCCTATGGGGCTCTTGGCCACTGTAAATAACCTATAGGGAAGTAGGGGTGTGTTTTGGGTGGCGGTTTCTCGGGGGATATAAGCCGCAGGGGTTCCGGTTAAGGAACTTCAATAAGATTCCCGTGGCGGTGCTGGGCTGGGGCAAGTTCCAGGTACAGTTCCAAGACTTTAATGGCACACTGGGACGTTTCTCTGCCCCCCCCCCCATCTCCCTGGATCTAGACCCGGTGGTACAGCCCATTCGCATCAAGGCCTGGATGCCGCCCCTAGCAGTGAAACCAAAAATCGAGGCCGAGCTAGATCGCTTAGTGGAACAAGGGGTCCTGGAACCAGTCGCTTCGGCACGGTGGGAGACCCCCCATAGTCACCCCGGTGAAGCCCAACGGGGACGTGTGCATTTGTGCTGACTATAAATGCACGCTAAACAAGGCTCTGCAGGCACACGCTTATCCGGTGCCGGTGGCGAGCCATGTGTTGGCAGCTTTGGTGGGGGTCCAGGTTTTTGGCAAGTTGGACTTGGTACATGCGTATCAACAACTGCCGGTTGATGCCGCCATGGCCAAAGCCCAAACGATCACAACACAAAAGGGGGCGTTCAACGTTCACCGCCTCCAGTTCGAAGTCTCGGTGGCGCCAGGGATTTTTCAATCTTTTATGGATTCTCTCCTGAAAGGCATCCCCGGGGTTCAGCCATTTCTAGACGACGTGCTGATTGCTGCGCCGGACGACTCATCCTTCATGGACCATCTGCGGGCTGTTCTACAGCGTTTCGATGCAGCGGGGCTCAAAGTTAAGCAGGAGAAATGTCTCTTGGGGGTGCCGTGCATCGAGTTCCTGGGCTTCGCGGTCGATGCTTTGGACATCCATCCCACCATGGACAAGGTGACCGCCATCACGCAAGCACCGCCTCCAGAATCCAAGTCCGAACTTCAGGCCTTTTTGGGGCTCCTGAACTTCTACCACTCCTTTTTGCCCCTCAAAGCTGCAGTCGCAGAACTACTCCATCGCCTCCTGGACAAGTTGGCACCTTGGGTCTGTGGTCCGCCACAAGCAGCTGCGTTCCAGGTGGTCAAAGACCTGCTCGTCTCCAATGCGGTCCTGGCGCATTTCAATGAGGCTCTCCCAGTGGTGCTGGCCTGTGACGCTTCCCCCTATGGGGTGGGCCACAGGCTGCCAGACGGCCGTGAGGTCCCGGTTGCATATTATTCCAGGACTCTGTCAGTGGCTGAGCGCAATTAGGTGCATATCGATAAGGAGGCGCTGGCGATTGTGGCGGGGTGAAAAAGTTTCACCACTATCTGTACGGGTCCTCATGGACCACAAGCCGCTTCTGGGCCTCCTGGCCCCCAGCTGATTTCGCCCCGGGTGCTTCGGCTGGGCCGCATTGCAGAGGGGGCTCACGGCACCTCCAAGGATAAGGTACTTTGCCGGGTCTTGGACTGGGTGATGAGGGGGTGGCCCACAGCCAAAGGAGACCCTGACGTAACGCCCTTTGCTTCACGGAAGGACGAGCTGTCCGTCCACCGGGGCTGTGTCATGTGGGGTAGTTAGGGTGGTCATCCCCAAACCCCTACAGGAGCGGGTCCTCACCGCCCTTC